GATTCAGGTGGTGGGAATGAACCGGAAGCGGATTCCCTTAAAGGGAACCACCAATTGGATTGTGTATTTCGGGGTCATTCCACTTCTCATTCCCTACCTATCGCACCAGCAAGATTCAGCTATCCACGCTTATACCATATATACTACGGAGGTGTTCTGCCAAGATTCTAATTAGGTCAACCAACCCCAGTTTCGCTTGGGTTCGGCCTCCACTTGGGTTGGTTGCCCACATGTGAGTCACAATCAAAAACCCGGTAGAACCATGTAAAGAATCAAGCCGGATATCTCCGCAACTCTGGGACTAAGGGCCTGGAAACCATTTTTAAAACCCTTTTTGGGGCCAACGGGGAAACCAAGAGGTCCAACTGTTGAGCACGTGGCTGAGGGGAGCGCTCTCCAACTGATGGGGCTCAAGCCCAGCGCTGGCGCGCGCGGAAGCGCTGGAGGAAGGCGCCTGCTCGCTGGCGGCGTCCAGCTGCTCTGCGAGGGCCTCCACCTGAGAGCTGGGACCGGGGGAGCGCGGGACCGAGGCTTCGGGGCTTCGGCCCCATCGGATACGCAACGTGGAAGAATGTATACAGCAAAAAATATATAAATGCATATGTGTATACAGGTATTTGTATATATATATTTGTATACATACGTATGTATGTTTCCACTACTAGTGCTAGGTGGACTTCTTGAATAGATGGATTCCTTGAGGTTGACGTTTGAGTATATATATATATATGATTTATATGTCCACTAGATTTCTTGAGGTTTCCACGGGACAGTTCGAGCAGTGCTTGGTGGCACCCGGAAACAATTGAACCGCCCCTTGAGTAACACTGCGTGAAGAAATATAACAGTTATATAAGTGTCCACGAGTGATAGATTCAAGTTAAAGCCAACAGGGGAAATACAGCATTTTCCGTTCTGCAAATCAAACAATCTAGCTTCAATGGGTGAAGAGTGTGATCAACATTGTTTACATGGGCGGGGGTGTCTGTCCGGTAACACGAAATCATAGCCAAAGGGATCTAAAAGAAACTCCTGCACTTTACCCTGAATCGTGTTCTCTGAAAATATGGGACCCTGGTCTCACATAGGGTTGACCGCTTTGAGAGGATGCTTCAACTGGAGGGGGGGTTCCCTATTTAAGAGCACACCTAAATTCCACCGCATCAAACACATGAACATATCCATTTTGAGGGGTTAGCGTTTCAATCCAAACCCGCAGCGCCCCCTTGGCATGTTCACCCCTTGAGCACAAGGGCGCAAACCAAGCAAACTGAGACGTCAGCGCCCCTGGCCAAACCACCTGTTGATCGGCATAACCCAAAAGGAACCACACTTTGTGAAAGGAACACATGACCTGCAGCCGTCATTCGCAAATCTGTCTATGCAACCAAGTATCGATACTACGTAGACATGTCTGTGCATTCAGACATGACTTTGGAAATAGCAGCAGGCCGAGTGTTTTCCCCAAAAACCGTAGACAAAGAAACTTAAACAACTCTGCCAACCAAGGCCCAGAAAGGCTCCCCAAATTGCCAAACCAAGGCCATAGCTCTTGTGCTACTGGATGGTTGCGAAATCCGTTCGCACCACAAAATGAAACCATAGGAAACCAAATGTTTGTTGGTATTTGCAGGGAAATCGTATCATTCCAGGGTTTCTTAGGTGGTGCATTGGATGGATTTCGCAACCATCCACAGTAGGCAGCCATAGTCACAGGTAGCTACCCTGAGCTGTGAATTGATTCTGGGACACAAGATCCATCTTCTGCTCGCCAATGCGCCACGAAACCAACACATCCCGGCCAGGCTCGGCCAACCATGCGTTGAATCATGGGGGTTGGGGGGGGAGGGAGGATAGGGGGAGGGAGCCCAACAAAAACCTTACTTGGCCCCTTATTAAGGCCTTATTTAGGGCTGATTTGGGCTCCCTCCCCCTCCCCTCCCTCCCTCCCAGCCCCCATAATTGAACTGTCGTGAATCTGCGAGAACTTCATCGGTCTCATTACCCTTTACTAGTTTGTCAAAACATTCGTCAGAGCAATGACATGGGTTAGCGAGTGTCGCTCGCGAATGCCACATATGGCCGATACTTGGGTACCTCAAGGAAAACTCAAAACAAACAAACAGAAAACTGAAGGCAACCAACAGCCAACCAAATGCCAACCAATATGCGACAACCAGGCAACAAAATGCCAACCAATAGGCAAGGAAGGGGTGCCCCTTGCTTGAGACGGACCACTTCATTGAAGAAACTGACCCCATTCTTTGACCATTGTCAACGTCAGTGAGAAAGGGAAACTCACCCCCAGCTTCTGACCTTCACAGAAACCTCCAAAATGATGGCAATCACCACTGTCATAACCACCGCTTTCACACAAAAATGGGGGAGGAGGGAGGGAGGGAGGAGGGGTCTTATTGAGGGCTTCTTCGAGCGAATCTGGGCTCCCTCCCCCCCTCCCCAAAACCCTCGTGGACTGGCAAGCTCTTCATCGGCGCCTGCTGCTGCAGAACCTCAGGGTTTCACGCACCCGCTTGCGCGGTGCGTCGCACATTTTTTTGGATCTTTGCTTAAACCGAATCGCAAGTTTTTTTGGTTTTCCTTTTAAACCAATCTCACGCTGGCTGGATCTGGCTGGTCTTCCCTTAAACCAACCTACAAACTGCATCAACAAAAAATCTGCCCAAAGCGGGCAGGGGTGAACACGTTGGGACGAAGATCCGACTACAGTTGCAGGGACAGGGGAGTCTCTGTTGGGTGAATGTAAGTGTTGTTCCCTGAAAACCTTTCAGCCTGAAGGGAACAAGGCAGCGAAACAAACAATCCACTGATTTGTGTGCATCAACACGTTGTTTTGTTTTTGACAACACGCTATTTGGGTTGTCGGAAACCAACATAGCAAACCACCCATGTTGGGGTCCCCCAATCTTGAGACAAGCCTCATGCATGTTTTCGGGCAATACCATCCAAACCAGGAATGACGGAGTTGAAAAACCCTGGCAAAGAAACTCAGCCGGAGGGGACCGCCAGGATGTTGACAAGGCACTCACAGATTGATTGAGGTTTAGAACATTCGCCGATTCACAGGGTTGTTTCTACTTCAAATGCAACTGTCACCACAATAAACCTCAATGACTCAGCTTGAGCCTCTTTAAACCGGATTCTTATGCAACGCTTGCACTGCAGTTGTGGGCAAAAGCACGAGGGCTGATGTGGTTTCACAATCTTTGTGTGCAAACCAAGGATCAATGCAATTATCCAACAACTACACAGAGCTTGAACAGTACGCCCAAAACACCCGGGCGTAATATTACACAATAATCAATACGCATGGACAAAATCCCAGATTTTGTTCAACTCGTGTGTTTCAAATTGCACAGCGATTACATGAAATGGTACGACGCTGCGTCTACCCCCGCTTCGCCATTTGTTGCTTCACGGATATTCAAGCTAGGTGGTTTGGTCTCAGTCTTGTCTTCATCTGACACTGCGGGCATGTCTCCAAGTTGGGGACCGATTCCAGGTGGTCTTCCTTCGGTTTCCCATTGGTCTCCTCACAGACTACTTGTGGTCCGCTGGTACTCGCCCCCCTTGTCTTCCCATAGTCCTTTCCGTTGACGTGCCAGGCTGCTAGATTTGTCTCTCCACGCGACCAATTGCCCGGCATTTGGCAGGCCAAAGGCTTGGCCGGCGATGTTTGAACAACATGCCCCTGATTAAAGGCACTGGTCCTGCCTGTTATCGTTACCTTATCGGTTTGCAGTGGTCGTCTTGTGTCGTTTTAGAACAGGGTTGCGACTAAACGAAACAGTAACAAGCGCGTTGTTTTTCCCTCCCAAATGGGGAGCCCCAAGCATGGTAGGGTTCCCCTTGGCTTCCCTTTGAAATAACCCACAGCGGGTCTATCATGTAGCATCAACAAAACACAGCCACTAGAGCAGCGCTCTCAGCGCCCTGCTGGAGAGGAGCTGCTCTCAACCTTCGAAAATTCGTCGCGAACGGATTCTTCCTCCGCAAGCAAAGTCAAAACCACTCGCTCGGCAGCCGCTCTATTCATCTGCACGGAAAGACATGAAGGCGGCTATGTGAGACTATGGATTGCAGCCCTTCACTGAGCCTGTTCGACACTCTGAAGCTGTCTTGCCTTGAACACCACCACTCCCCTCAGAACATAAAGCCTGTCTCTACACAACCTTTGGCATGGTAGCAAAGGCTTTGTTGTTTGCAGCCCACTACTAAATAAGAACAACACCAGAAAAAAACCTAAAAACTTGCCGAACATTGAACATATCCTGTGGCGATTTGCCATTTCAGAATCCTGCTTTCCTACTGTTCAGCCTGCCTTTGGAGAGGAATCGAACTTCTCTGAGAGGGTAGCGACCTCGCAAACGGAAGCAGGAAAAAAAAAGTACTCTCAAAAAGGGCAACCCTTCAAAGGTGATGCTCCATCTAACCAAAAACACCCAGAGCACCAGAGATGAATCCCTCAATGTCACAACCGTCGCTGGTACTTGACAGGCTGCTCTTCTCTTGCATATGGGGGTTGATCAAAGGGTCCGATAAACATGGGATGACCATTGGGAAAACCACTAAACAAATATATTGCCCGGTACATGGAAAAAACTTCCCCCCCCGTCATTGGGGGCCGAACCCACTATTGATCAACCCCCATATGCACTTGCTATACTTGAGCCGCTGCCTGCTTTTGCAGAGTCTCAACCTGGCGCGTGTTGCAAACGCCGGGCGTTCCACGCTGCATGGCACCAAGGCATGGTGAAGGAGAAGGAACGTGTCAAGGGACCTTGAACTTCAAGGGCTTTTGGTTGGTGTTTTAAACGGAACCCAACAAAAAGGCAGACACCACTTTGGACATTCCAAGTTGGGCGTGTCTTAAAACGGGGGAAACCCAAACATGGTCGTACCTTTAGGGGAATCGGCCAGGTCCGACAACGGGGATCCATCGCCTGTCCCAGTGCGGCATCCACTTGGCTCATGGCTGCAACCTGGCTTGAGATTCATGGTTTTGTCTGAGTGTGGAATGGAGGATCTGGAAGAATCAAACGATTCCTTTCTCACTTCCTGAGCGGATTGGTCAGAAGTCCAGAAACTTTTGGTTTGCCACTAAAATGCTCGTCTCGCAAAGTGACTGGAGTAAGTTGCCTTTTGGCTTGCCTTTCAGAAAAATGAGAGAAACCTTCGGCTTGCTGCATCCAGATGGTTTGCCGGACTTGTACCAAGTTCGTACTGGAAACCAGCCAACCCACGACCAGCTGACCAGTCGTTCTGGCGAATCTGCTCATTTGGAAGGGGTCTGTTTGGCACATGGCTGTGGGTCAAAACCTACCCCTGGTGAACATCAAAATAGGTGGTACATGAATATTCATCTGCCCCAAAATGGGATCGGCATAGGTTAGGACCCATGGCCACATTGACATGCTCTGGAACAACAGCCAAACGGACAGCGTGTGGATGCTCCCTCCATGAAGCCCGTGGCGCTGCATGGTGATCTGATTCCAAGATGTTTTCCACCACCCCCAAACCGAAGCTACCCCTACGGGTTTCATGGGATACACAGCCACTATATAACCCCTGGAAACCATCTTAGGCTGATCTGGTTTGGTGGTTCTCCTTCCAAGCCGAATGTTGACCCCTTCAATGAATAAACCGGCTCTCCGAATAGGGGGGTGGTCCCCTCGAAAAGTGATGAACGCCCACTAGAAGGGAAACCAATCAGGGGTTTATTGATCCGCGGTTCCCATTGAGGTCAACTTCATTGCCACTGGCGTTGGTGGTTCAAGGACACCAAGTTTGATACGGTGCTCAGCGACGGTAGAAAAAGGGAACTCTATTTTGTGGCTGACACCTAGATTTCGGGACGAGGTTGACACCTCAAGGTAGTTGACATGTATGATATTATGATTGCTCAATATGGGGGTTTCTCAAACCAGGCGCCCCTCAAACAAGCCTTAGGCCTCGCCTTAAACTCCAACCACATCGGGCAGCCCCCGCACACAAAACCATTCTGGGAAAAACTCAAATATGTGTTGCCTTTCTGAAGCAACCGCCTTCACGGCCGTGGTCCAGTGGTTGCCCATCTGAATTATTCATGGCCATGAAAGAGTAGTCGAGGGCCACGCCCAGCAATAAATTGCTTTCATACATACCCCCCACCCTACATTTTTTTTCATCTTCCATCTTCTACCCTTATTTGTTTTCATCATTTTTCTACATTCCTTTCTGTCCATCTCATCCGTTTTTTATCATCATTTTTCCAAAATTTTCGCCATCCTTTTCTCCTTTCTCCTCGCCTCATTCATTTCACCAACTACCCTCCAAAATGTCATTTCCTCAATCTCCTCACCTCATCCATTTCAAAAAAAAAAAGTTTGCAAAATATATTGCAAAAAATATTTGTCATCAAAAAAATATTCGAACTGTCTAAAAACGATTTGTCCATTTCCCGGACAAGAAATAGAACAGCAACAACATCACTCTCCTCCTTCGTTTCATCACTTTTATCATATATTTTTTTGGGGCGTGGTGTCCCTTGTAGGATTTTAGGGTTTTCTGGGGTTTCTGGGGCAACCGTCGCGCCGTCCCGGCTTCGTGGACTTCCTGAACATCTCTGATTAGTGCGCCCTGACCTGTTTATGATGCTTCTGTCATTGTCCTGAGATGAATTGTTGCAGTCATGCTGTGCAAACATACTTCTCCAGTTGCTTTGCTCAAGTGCTGGTGGTTTGCAATACCGCTTGTAAGTGGTGAGAATGTTTTTTTTCATCCGTCGCGGCGATGGCTTCCTGCCAATGGAAAAGGAGCCGGGGTCAGTGCTCGTGCCTGCTGACCTTGCTGTTCCATTGGTGCCGCCAACTCGTGAACAGTTTGAGACTCTCTCCGTTGAACAAATCAAGGCGGTGTTCAAGGCATTTGGATACACTCTGTCAAAAGGCAGTGCCAAAAGCCAGTTCGTGGCCTTCACCTTGAACCAGTGGGACGAGATTAGCGCTCACGCGCTCGCCAATGCTCCCCGCAACTATGAGGCATGTATCAGGGGAACGCCTAAGCTCTTCTTCTACAAGAAGGACGACACCTACTTCATGCCCGTCATGATTGCCCCGGGACAAGTCATGGAGATGAAGACCTTTGATGAGATGGTGTCCACTCCGCTGACGCTGTCTATGGCAAACTCCTTGACCATTGGACAGCTCAACAAGGTTCTGAAGGTGCTTGACGCTGGTTGCTCTGACCCCAAGGATGGCAAAAAGGCCATTGCCACACGCCTTGTGAACTTCTGGGCTTTCAACTATGAGCGCTTCAATGCGCCTCCCAGCGAGGTTTCGGACGAAAACAGCGCGGACAGTGAGGAGGGTGTCATTCCGGACACTGACACAGACACAGAGGAGGACATTTTCAGCGACACATGCAACGCGGACCTGGAGGCGGAGTTTGAGCAGTTTTGCGGGATGGCCCCCTTGGACTTTGAGTTCTATGTCAACAGCGCCGCGGACTTCTTTGCCAATCCGGTTAGCGTCACGGTGTTTACCTTCAAGGGCGACGCTAGCATGTTCAGCATTGAGATTGACAACCTTGTGTCCACGGGGCTTGACATGAAGCAGGAGGTGATGCGCCACATCCGCTACTTCGCAGAGAAAAAGGGCAACGCCAACACTATGACCATCGACGACTTCATACTCACAAACGGTTCAAAGGTCATCCCAGACAACGAGGTTGTGAATGGAGACTTTGTGAGGGAGGTTTACTTGGTGCTTCGCTTGAGGGGAGGTGCTCCATCCCACGGCATCATCAAAACCATTGTCAAGTCAAAGACTAGCGACAAGACCACGCAGGCTGACATCTCCAAGTTTCAGGGTGCCTTCTCCCATGCTTCCGCTTTGTCAGGGGCTTCAACCGATAACATCAAAACCATTGTCAGCGGGCTTTCGGCGGACACCTTGCGAAAGATGAAGGACTACATTGAGCACGACCGCACCCCGAACAAGTCCAAACCAGCAGGCTTTGCAATGCTCCTTCCGCCGCTTGCAGAGATGGAAGATGTGCGCAACAAGTTGAACACAGCGATTGATGAAGCAAAGGGCTTGGTGCTTTCCTACCTTCAGAAGTCTTGCGGTGATGGCAACGACGGCATCAAGCTGAGCAAAGTTGCGCAAATGCTTGACACCCGCATGCTTGTGCTTGAGGAACTTTCCAAAATTGCTCAGATTTCACCAGATGCCGCTACACCAGCGGATGTCTCAATGCGCACATGAGGCATTTTTGTGCCTTGTACAAGGGAAGCCATGTCATCAGACCTTCATTTACAAACCAACATACCACCCCTGAAAAACAGATGACCCTGTATGTCGAAACAACATACCACCCCTGAAAAACAGATGACCCTGTATGTCGAAACAACATACCACCCCAGAAAATCAACATATGTCTAAACAACATACCACCCCTGAAAACAACATCTCATTGGCTGGTTTGGTGGCAAATGGCATTCCAGAAGCTTTGTGGCAATTGCTTTCTGTTCAGTAGTGCAGTTTGGACAGATGGCGGTGCAAGAGGTGGAAAATAGTTGTTGCAGGTCATGTTTAGGGGGACTTTCTGGTGGGTCGCTCGCTTCGGTTTCGCCTTCCACTCTGTCCCGTTTTTCTACGCAGGTATTCACTTGGTCTTCTTCGCCTACGAGACTGACAACATCTAGGTATGGTCTGGGGCTGGGTTGGCGGGCTGGGTTGGTTTAATTTTTATAGTAATATATATATATATAAGGGGGAAACTCTCGCCAATTTTTCCCTGCCCTGTTTGGCAATTGGCGAGAGTTTCCTGATATATCTATATGAATATTGGTGTTTTCTAAATTTGATAAACTATGGATTATCCCCTTAAAAATTAATATTTTCATGTTTTTTGAATTCTTATTTTTTACTGTGTTGTCGTTGGATGAACCTAGAAATTTCAAGTTTCAAGCCCAACCCCAAACTCAAAATCCTTAATCCGTCAAACTCACTAAGATTTCACAAATTAATTCGCTAGGTATTTTATATAGGTCTTCCTGCTTATGTATTGTTGGATTGTCTCCCCAATTTTCCTTGGTGCCCGATGGAAGCCGTTGTGCGGTTTCAATATGTTTATTATTCCTGATGTTGCCACAATCCTTTTTACATAATTCTCTAGGTTTCCAAGTTGTAATGTTATTCCAGAGCCTAGTGCGTTTTCTGTAAGGCATTCCATATTTACAGTAATCTACATCTTTAAAATCAAACTCATCCATAAACTCCTGATGTTTTAATAATCCAGTTTGTGGATTTTCGATTACAAAATATTTAGGATTGAAATATTTGATAATCTCAATAGTTTTTAAGACAATATTATTTGCATATTCGATATTCCTAATTCCCCTAGTTTTTGCTATGCTGTATTCAGTGCATGGGGGACTACTCCAAATAAAATCAAAATGGTTTCTGTCAAACTGTTTGTAATCCCACTCCAAAATATCAGTGTTGATATCAGCATTTTTCAAGTCTAATGATATTACATTAAATCCAAGCGACTTTGCTATGGTTCCGACGCTTTTTGTTCCGCTAAATAATTCTAATAAATTCATTTATTAGAATTATTTAGATATTAATTATTCAAATAATACATATACTTCATCATCATTTTTTGTAATTTTATAAAACTCTAATGTTTGTTGCTTTGGTTGTTTGATTTTTCCTGTATTCAACATATCACAGTATTTCTTTTGCTTTGTAGGGTAGTCGCCCGATGGTCTTCCTATAGACTTTGCTTGAAATATCTTTTCGATTTTCTCCTTCTCTTCGTTGCTTTGTTGTTCGCGTTCAACTGGTTTTATTTTGTCATCAATGGATTTAATCATATCATTTAAGTTTTTGATATTTTTACCAATTAATGTTATCTTCTTCATTAAATCATTAATAGTGTAATTTTCATTTTCAGACATTACTATATATTTATTTAGATATTTACTTATTTAATT